GACCATTTATTACAGGTAGCCACTAGGGCAGGTTTGATTGTAATTACAGCTTAAAAATGCTTGTTGTATGCAAAGTATATCATTTTGCTTTGCATATAAGATTGTGGTAAAATGTATTAAGTGTTGCTTCAGATTTCATTTGTGAAATTGAGTAACTGCAAGATTTAATGATAAAAAATTCAGGTTGTGGGATCTTTGCTTAACAACCTATTGAAAAGGGAGAATATGTAGTGTATTACTCTGGTGGCTATATAGAACAGGAGCCAGAGGATGACACCTACACATTTGAAATAAGAAAAGGAAGAAAACATATATGGTATGTGAAGAAATTAAGTGCAATCTTGTTCAAAGTAAATGTTTTTTATTCAACACTAAAAGAGCTACTTCATGCCATCATACATTTTAGTATAAAAATGATGTGAAATAATTTTATAACTGTTTGAAATTCTTGAAGTGGAATGCTTAGATTCTGTATAAGAATACTTCTTTCTTTACTGAAAAGAGTAGAATTTTCCTGAAATTTAAAACTCTTTAAGTTACATCAAAATATATGTTCTTCACAATGAGACATTTTTCATTAATGGCATGGTTTTGAATTTAAGTTGTTTGTACAAATGAGAGACCAGCAAACGTAGTGGGCATTACATTTCCAAGAAAAGTTAAAAGGAATATTGGTTTTACATAGGATTGATTCATCTAAAGAAGACGGATCATTTGAAAGACTGATAAATGACAACCACCTGACACCTAATCTAGTTCCAAAACTTGTAGAGGTTGATGGGACTAGTTATCCAGTATTTTTTTGCCAAGAAGGACATTGATGTTGGGGAAGAATTAACATATAGCTATGGCCCAGGAGATGGTTGTAATTATTTATTGGTGGAGGAAAGTAAGTATAGAAACTGTTAACTTCGCTTCCCTTAATGGTAGGTATGATAATATTGGGTTCTTCAACATGACATGAAATTAGTCCTTAATGAATATCAGAACTGTTAGATAATCCAGGACAGCTGCTATGGTGGAGGCCAAATTAAATTGATCCTACTACTTTGTGTGAGTGATAGGTGTTCATATTAGTGTAAACATACTTGTTTTAGCAGTTTTTGCAGTAATATTATATATATTATTATAGCGCTTTTCGCGTTACCGTTGGTGTGCAAATTCATGTGCAGCGCGAATATTGTTGATGAATGGAGTGCTACTTGATACACATGTTCATTTAAGGATTGAACCTTACATTGGTAGATTTCATGGGGTGATGAATTGAGTTGGTATTGAGACAAATTTAATGAACTTTGAATCGAAACAGTACATGTTGAGTTTGTCAAGACCAACTCAATTCATCGCCCCATGAAATCAACCAAAGCAAGGTTCAATCCTGATATTTCAGTTAATATGTGTTTCTTCAATGATTTGAACTTGTGAAAGTGTATTAAGTCTTGTTGCTGATACCGGGGCATGTGCAAGTCTACGTGGCGTACCGTATAAAAATTTAGTCCCTTATTGAAGGACAACTATAGAACATTGTGGTGTAAGTAAATATTTCAATACAGCAATATGAAAAATAAAACTGCAAAAATCTACGTAAACAGGCTAGAAAAACAGTCAAGAAATGTCATTTTTATGCTTTTTAATGAAAACATGTAGTCATAGGCACAGACAGTGTTAATTTGGTCAATTTCATCGGTAAATGAATCAGACAACATTTGGTAGTTTCATTTAGTCCAACTTGAGTAGAAATTGAAATATAAAGTTTTACAGATAACCAAAAAAAAAAAAACTGTTCTTTCAGTCCAATGCAAATTGTTGGGTTCTTTTTTTTCTCCAAAATATTTGATAGAAATATGATTTAAAGTAACATGCATGTTCATTATGGCATGAAGTTGTGTACATGATTAAAATAAACCAATCATGAGCACTGGCAAGCTGGCTATGACAGCCATGTTCAGTTACAAAATATGAACATCTTTACTGTATTCACTATAGATTTTATCTTAAAATTTGAAGAAAAATTGTGATTTAAGATACATAAAAGTATCATTGTCAATACATGCAATATTAAATGCATTAATTACAGCAGCCAATGGAAGAAACTACTATGTCCACAATCCGAAGTGACAGTCTCCACGATGATCCACCAACTATGTCAATCAACTATGTCCAATATCCAAAGCGACAGTCTACAGGATGATCCATCAACTATGTCAAATATCCAAAGTGACAGTTCAGTATGATCCATCAACTATGTCCACAACGCAAAGTGACAGTCTCCAGGATGATCCACCAACTATGTCTTGTATCCAAAGTGACAG